ACAACCGCGCGCCATCTCTTGCAGGAGATCAACTTCTACATCATCCTTGCGCTTGCAGACGATCCAACGTGTGCCTGGAGGGGGGATGCGGAGAAGCACTTTGGTTGCTCCTATTCACACTTCTTGCTGAAGGGCTTCATGGCCATGTACATATCCGGTGTCGACTTTACCTCAGACGCCCTCTCCAACCTTGAGCTCTACGACATCAGGTTCAATGTGTGTCTGTCCGTGTCTGTGTCTGTGTCTGTGTTTGTGTGTACCTGTGTGCATGTGGCTGTCTGTCTGTCTGTCTGCCTGTCTGCCTGTCTGTCTGTCTGTATGCCTGCATGCATCACAAGAGCCAGTGGCAGCGCATCACGCGACAATTGTCACTGCATCACACGTGCCGCCGACACCGCCCGCGCTTGCTTATGCCTGCTGTGTCGACTGACTGGCTAATGTCTCTGACACCCCCGTTTGCAGCTCCAACTTTGACATTCCACTCACGGGCGCAACGTCCAAGACTGTGATGCCGGGCGTGGAGCAGCTGCAAGACCACACCCTCAAGTGTGTATGTGAGTGAGTGAGAGTGTGTGTATGTGAGTGAGTGAGTGTGTGTGTGTCTGTGGCTGTCTGTGCATGTGTCTGCGCCTGTGTCTGTGGCAGTCTGTGCCTGTGTCTGTGTGAATACCCCACCTAACGACCCACCACCACGACGATAATCACGACCAATCTGCAAGGCCGCTCGCCCAATCCCTGACGTCTCGGCTGCGTGCTATTGGCACTGCGGCTGCACATGCGCATCTGCGCTACCCCGGTGATGCTGTTGTTGATCTGTTGGCACGACAGCCGAACGCCGCCCAGCCCATCGCCGCAGCCATCGCAGCCATCTTCCCGCAGCTCACAGATGAGGTTGCGCGCCTGTGTGTGTGTGTGTGTGTGTGTGTGTGTGTGTGTGTGTGTGTGTGTGTGTGTGTGTGTGTGTGTGTGTGTGTGTGTGTTGGCACTGAGGATCAACCTTGCTTCATTGCTCTCCGTTTGGAGACGCGTCCCCATTCAACCCAATCTCAGCACCACAACACCGCAACCGTCCTGACCATGTTGACACTGCCGTGACTGTCACGATGCAGGTGGCAATTGGTGCGCATCTGCTGTGGCTGCACACGAGCGCACATGCCGCCGCCGCCCGCCTTCATCTCTGCTTCCGCAAGGACGACGACGCATGCAACTTTCACGACATTGACACCATCCCACCTCTCCCGGTGTGTGTGTGTGTGTGTGTGTGTGTGTGTGTGTGTGTGTGTGTGTGTGTGTGTGTGTGTGTGTGTGTGTGTGTGTGTGTGTCTTGTGTCTGTGTGTGTCTGTGTCTGTGTGTGTGTGTGTGTCTGCCTGCGTGCACGTCTGTCTGTCTGTCTGCAATCTGGACCCTACTCACCACCAGCCAATGGCACTCACCATCATCATTCCACACAACCGCATCTGTTGCATTGCTGTTTGTCGTCGTGGCCATTGCTACTGCCAGAGTTGCCGCAATGGCCTGCTGTTACAAACTCCACGACCGACTCAAGGTCAGATGCACGCGCACTCATTCATTGCTATTTTGGCGTTCATCACACACGCACACACGCGCACGTGCGTGCATTCCATCGACCCCACTCACACCCCGTTGCTGTGTGGTGTGTGTGTGTTCAGGCTGCTGGCGTGGAAGTTCCGCTGTTCCACATTGCAACCGCTGTCTGCCGCCTCAAGGACACACATGACGACGCATAGCACACGCACGCACACATGCACTCATTCATACACCCATACACTCATGCACATGCGTGCGCACACGGAAAACCACACACACACACACACACACACACCTTATCAATGCAATAGTCAGTCTTGCTGTGAGACCTGTTGTTTTTAAAATGGTGTGAGCTGGGAGCACCCAAAGCCACAGCGTGCGAAATGCAATAAAGGACAACCACCACAGCTATTCATTTGCGTTCCATCGACAGACGTGACGTTAACGTGCACACACGCACATGTGTGGACGCGTGTGGAAATAAGGAAAAACAAAAGGCTGTTGTGATTCGTGCATAGGTGCAATCGCGTTCACACCAAGCGCGCGCGCGTGTGTGTGTGTGTGTGTGTTTGGGGTTGGGGGTTGGAAGCAGAGGAGGCGACAGAATAATCAAGGGAGGAGGGGCGAGCGAAGGAAGAAAGCAACAAACCAAGCGCACAAGCAAGCAAAACGACTGTCAATGAAATCAACTCATTGTGTGTGTGTGTGTGTGTGCAAGACATGCGTGGTGGACGGCAACGTTGAGTATCACATTTCGCCATTCACTGCGCACATGTCAAGGGAGAGCCGGCTCTCACATGAACACATGTGCAGCTGTGGCGATGATAGTGATGACAGTGACGAGAGTAGAGATGGTGATGGGCGGGCGTCATTCAACAGCCGCAAGGGGAACAAAAAGAAACGGTGAGAACATGGGATCAGGGGATGACATGCAACGCGTTGAAGAACAGAAAGGAAAAGTGAAGGTGGACGATCAGATCAACACACGTGCGCGCATGTTGTTGTGATCGTGCTGTTATCGCTGGCGGTCACGGGACTGTGTACGTTCCGGGGCTGTGGATGAAACGAAGAGTCGCCACACGCACATACACGAACATACACACACATACACACGCGCACATACGAGAGCAAGTCAGATTGGCGAAGCTGTGAACGATACACGTCCACGACAACACAAGCAAACACGAACGCACCATGGCATCACACCACAGCACGCACACACGCACACGCACACGCACACACACGCACACACACACACACGCACACACACACGCACACACGCACACGCACACGCGCACGCACACGCACACGCACACGCACACGCACACGCACACGCACACGCACACGCACACGCACACGCACACGCACACGCACACGCACACGCACACGCACACGCACACGCACACGCACACGCACACACCATGGGGTTGGGGTTGTCTTGGGCTTTGCGAGGACGGGACGTGGCGCGGTGGCGCCAAACGCGGGCTTGGCCTTTGATCCTGTTGTTGTCGGCGTCTTGTATGTGCTCAGAAATTTCTCAGGGCCGTCAACACCATAGTGGCCCACGCTGGTGGATTGTGGATTGTGGGAGGTGGGGGTGAGAGGAAGCGTGAGATGGTGGCGGGTGTACTCGTGTGTTACTGTGTGTGTGTGTGACTGTGTGTGTGTGTGTGACTGTGTGTGTGTGTGTGTGTGTGTACCTCTGTGTGTTTGTGTGTGCTAACTGTGCGTGCCAACTCTGTGTGTGTGTGTGCGTGTGTGGGTGGGTTGGTGGGTGCGCGCGCAATTGTGTGTGTGCGTGTGTGTCGGCTTGGCTGTCTGTTGGTTGGTTGGTCCATCTGCGCGGCTCTGCCTGTGCAGTGCCAATAATACATCCACATGGGGGCACATTTGTGTCGTACCATGGGCTTGGCGGGGTGATGGTGGCCTTGAACCTGTCCTGCTGCGACCCAAAGGGCGACACCTTCTGCGAGGTCTGCGGTTTGTTCCACGACAACTCGTCCAGCCGCGCCGTGTGGTTCTGCAACACGCATGATGCGGCGTTAAGTGTGGAGATGGAGAAGCGTCATCATCACGCATCGAGGAACAAGGCCTCCATGACACATACGCACGAAAAGAGAGAGCTAGAGCAACGAAAGTACAACAGTGTCACGCTCATGCACTGAACACACGCATACCCAAACTCACGCTCACACACACACACACACAAACAAACTCAAACACACACACGCACGCGCCCTTGCACCAACGAACCAGGAGCTCTCGATCAGCAATGTCCTCCTTGAGTGATTTGTTGACGGCGAAAGGATCGGGCCGCTTGCCCGTGGTGAGCGTGCCTGTAAAAAACACAAACACATACAAGCATGTGAGCTGTTGACTGTCATCATTCCACAATGAATCGCAAGCGAGTGCATTAACACACAACAGCAACGTGAAAAGAGCGTCCAAACGCACCCGCACACTACACACACAACCATACACAAACAACCCCAGCAGACAACCCCGCTTCACGCAATCAAACATACACGCACGCACACACACACACCTCGCACGCTCCTTGGCTTGGAGCCGACATCGTGGCCAAAAGTGTGCTGCTTCGGCGAGTACTTTGTAGGGTCCGTGAGCGGGCGAGCAGTGGACGCTTCCAAGCGCGATCCCGCTTTCTGTAGGGGCACACAAGCAACCAACACGGTAGGAGAGATCGGGTGTGTTGTTCAGACGAAGTGGTCAGATGGAGCCAAAGGCGACATGTGGCGGCAGTGTTCGCGCGAGGGCGCGTGGGACGAGAACAGCCCAAGCAACAAATCTCACGACGCAACAACAACAACAACAACACAAGGTTGAGGTGGTCCACAACTCATTGCACGCACACCCACGTCAACAACGAAACGCACCGAATCGCGCGGGCTGGAGGAGCCGAATCCTGGGCGCGGGCTGGACATGGATGGTGTTGCTGGCAGTGCAAACGAGCGAGTGGCGCGAAAGCGGAGCGAGGTCAACGTGAATGAAGCACGCACAGAGATTGTCTTCTTTGGTGCTGATGAAGCAGCTGATCTATGACACAGAGGCGGCGGTGGGGAGGTCGTTGTTAGGATGAAGGTGGTTGTGGAAGGTGGTGGGTTTTGATGTGGTTGTGGCTTTGGTGGCTTTGGCCGTGGCTGTGGCTGTGGATGCCAACCCAACTCAACTCAAACGTGCGTGCGTCAGTGGTTGTTGTTGTTGTGCGATTCTTGCTTGCCTCTGGTTTCGGTGTTTTGCGCGCACTACGCCACTGCCCTTGAAACAACAACGGTGCCGAAACTGACAATGAATAATAACATGTTTGTTCTTGTTTTGGTGTTGGGTGCCGACACCGACAGGCAAACCCATTCAAGGATACACAACCAGCCACCAACAGACAAACTTGGTGAGGATGATGAGTGGGCCACTGCCGCCAACGACGACGACCACA